GAACAAGCTGTACAATACCAAGCAAATTGGCTACCACTTCCAATTTGCACATTTCACGGCTGCCGCTTGACTTCTTTATTTCCTCCTCCCTTTGCTGACTTTTCTTTATTAAAATGTAAGTGGGTCCCACTTGAGTGGGCACCGACACAATAAATCTCCCCCTGCACACTCAAGTGGGGACATTAGCATTCATCGTCCCTGCACCTAATCGACAGTATTCGAACTTCTCCTTTGAAAGAATCTTCGTCAACATGACTGATCCATTTTCTTCTGTATGGATCTTCTCAAGCTGTAAGTATGGATTCTTCTCAAGCTGTAAACAAACTTCCATCTCCAAACACATCCCTATTATCAATGTGTTTTGGGATCTTGAATGGGAAGGAGGAATTCCTTCCAAGTGTGAATTGAGCTTTGGACTGTCACAAAAATATCTGATATCGTTCTTGAGTGAATTCCGAGTTCATTCAAGAATTCTTCATCCACAGCAACTCCTTTGCCCGCTTCAGTAATCTGACTGCCAGAACACGACTTCCCCCTGCAAATGTGATTGGGTATTCCCTAAAAAAATCCATTTTCACATGCAGTCCAATGTTCCTTTCCAGGATTTGAAGAGAGAACTTAACTTACTAAATCAACTGGATGTGAGCAATATCTGGCCGTGTACAAACCATGGCATTCATCAAGCTCTCCAACTACTGAAGCGTATGAAATCTCTTCCATTTCCTGTCCTTCTCTCCAATTCGTAAAGGGCACTGTTTAGAACTTCAATTTAAAAAGTGATTAGTAAGAGGGACAACTAATCGCTTTAGCGTTTTTCATTCTTCTAAACCTTTGAGTTTACTCTCTCAATGTACTTCTCGTTGTGACAACCATAATTTCTTTGGCTGGTTCAATATTTCTTGTAATCTTCATTGCCAAAGACTGCTTAGCTGGTCCTAAGTCTTTCATAGCAAAAGACTTACTTAGTTGTTTTTTTCAAGCTAGAATCTGACCAAAACAACAACCATTATCAACCACATTAGAGCAAAAACAATATAGTCATCATTTCAGAGGATTTCTTCATAGAAAACACAGTGGATCTGAAGTAGTCTTTCTGGTAGCCTTGCTCCCCATATAGACCCCCATAATAGACTCAAACTTCTTGTACCACTGTCTCAGTGCCTGCTTCAAGCCGTACAGGCTCTTCTTCAGTTTGCAAACACAATCTTCTTTTTCTACGAAACCCTCTAGCTGCTCCATGTATATTTCTTCTTCCAAATCTCTATGTAGGAAGGTAGTCTTTCTATCCATTTGCTCGATTTCCAGTTCAAAAAACTGGCGGCCGTTCCGAACACTGTTCGAATGGATGTCATTTTCACAACTGGTGAAAAGATCAAAATTCAATACCGTTATGAAAAGATCAAAATCAATACCCTTTCTTTGATTGAATTCTTTCACAACCAGTCTAGCTTTGAATTGTGGTTGGAAGCTATGTTCTTCCTGCTTGATCCTGAACATCCACTTTTTCTTCAAAGCTTTCTTGCCTTTGGGCAACTTCACCAGCTCAAATGTTTCATCCTCATGTAAGGACTTCATTGCATCTTGCATGGCTTCAATCTAGTTCCTCTTGTGTTCATTTCCATGGCTTCTTCAAAGCTTTCAGGTTCTCCCCCGTCAGTCGTCAGTACATACTCATTGACTGGATATCTAGTAGATGGTTATCAGACTCTACTAGATCTTCTTATGTACTAGATCTTCTTAATGTTTGAGAACCTTCCGATGCTGGTGGTTGAACATGAACACCATAATCTTCATCTGATTCATTTTCATTAGGAACTTCTAGATTTTCTAACTCTGGCACTTGTTCTTGTGGAATGTTTTCTTCATCTCCAATTTGTCTGCGCTCGATTGGAGGGACTCTCTTTATGTCTGTTGAGTCTTCATCAGATCTATTGGCACTCTGCTTCAATATCTTCAATAGTCTGATCTTCAACAAATACAACATCATGACTTCTTATGATAATCTTCTGGATTAGGTCATAAAACTTATAGCCAAATTGGTCTTGGCCATAGCCAATGAATACACACTGTCTAGTTTTGACATCAAGCTTAGACAGTTCATCCTTCGAGATATGCACGAAGGCCTTCGGGATATGCACGAAGGCTTTGCAACCAAACACCCGCAAATGATCATAGGAAACATCCTTTCCTAACCATACTCTCTCTGGAGTATCATACTCTAGAGGGAAACAGGGTGAACAGCGAACTACTGTGAGTAACGCTTCACCCCAAATTTTTTAGACAACTTTGCATGTGAGAGTAAAACATCTGACACTCTCCGTCAAAGTTTTGTTCATCCTCTCAGCCAAACTGTTCAGTTGCGGCGTCTTGGGAGGTGTCGTTTGATGTCGAATGCCATGCCCTTTGCAGAAAGCATCAAATGGCCCAGTGTATTCTCCACCATTATTTATCCTGATACACTTCAGCTTCTTGCCTGTTTGTCTCTCAACCAGGTTTAGAAGACTTCAATGTGTATACCCAGGTCTTCCTAGAATGGTCATCGATAAATTGTCATCGATAAATGCTTCACAAAATATCGAATTTCACCATATGACATCGTCAATGGTCACACAAATCTGAATGAATTCCAAAATTGGACCAGGTCTTCCTAGAATGGTCATCGATAAATGTCACAAAATATCGATTTCCACCATATGACATCGTCAATGGTCCACACAAATCTGAATGAATCAAATTTGACATTCTTCTTTCTAGAAGGAGGGGTAATCTTGAAAGCTACTCTATTTTGCTTTTCTGTCATACAATCAGGACACTTGTCTAGGTGAACTTTATCCAATCCAGGTACTACGTTCTTTCTTGCCAGAGTTTTCTCACTCATGTGGTCTAGTCGTTTATGCCACAATTCAACTGTACTATCATTCTTCGCTACATTCAAAAAGTCTTGGAGAGTTTCGCATGCATCACGTACCACTTTGGGTCTTTGGCTACCACAAATGAACATTTTGTGAGCTTCCATTGACCATTTCTGAAGGTGCTACAAAAACCTTCATCATCAAATCTGCCAATCGAGATTTGGACGCCTGCTCAAAAGCCTATTCCTCATCAGTCTTGTCTTCCGGTTTAGTTAAACTAAACACTGGCAAATGCATTTTGATTACTATAAGGAGATCTCACATTTTATTTCTCCATATATGGTAATTTGCACCATTTAGACTGATAATTTTGCTTGTCCATTTTGACTTGCATAGAAAATCATCACCAACATAAACCGTATACATGAACAATAGTAACAGTATACGCGAATAGTAACTGTATGCGTGAATAGTAACTGTACACGGGAAAAGTACTATATGTGAATAGTACTGGGCTTACTTGAAACGGACTCAGCAACATTGACGCCAATAGTACTGTTCACAATCAACTTTGAGTTATTATTTTACTATTCATCACTAATTCGATTCTGAAACGTCTTTCTGACCGGAAAGCACCAATGGACTCATCGTAATTTTCTCTTTGTCGTGGTTTATTTGTTTTCAAAATATATCCACGGATCCGGTACCGCTATCTGACCGGCTAGACGTGTCGAAACCTTTGACTCTAATACCAGTTGTTGGGCCTTAGGCTCTGATACCAGTTGTTGAGCCATTGGCTCTGATACCACTTGTTAGGCCTCAACTCTGATACCACTTGTTGGGCTCTCATAACCAATTAAGAGAAAATTAACGCAGCAGAATAATCAAAATTGTGACACGTAGAAATTTATGTGGTTCACCCTTAACTGTTAGGGCTACGTCCACGGGACAAACTCCGAATCATTCTTTCACTATTAAAAATAGTAGGCTTACAAAGAGAGTAACACAAAAATAGTAGCACTTAAAGTGTTTTTCAAAAACACCCCATAATAATTTACTCATTATTTTTCTCTCCCCTAGTTTTAGAAAACCCTTCCTAAAACTAGATCACTCTCTCTACATTTTTTTTTTCTACCGTGTGTTTTGTGTTGAGGCAACGCGTATTGAACGAGCTGTACAATACCAATGCAAATTGGCTACCACTTCCAATTTGCACGTTTCACGGCCGCCTGACTTCTTTATTTTCTCCTCCTTTGCTGACTTTTCTTTATTAAAATGTGTGTGGATCCCACTTGAGTGGGCACCGCCACAACATGTATATCAAATTGATATTGTATTTTCTCAATTGACAATCAGATTTGATACATTCTTTTTGGTCTAATTTTGGGCTTATTGAGTTCAAATGCATCTCATAACTCGCATATCCACTGTATATTCATTTTTTTTTTCATTTAAACAATCCATTATCTAAAGAAAATAAAAAAGAAAAAATATAGCACATCAAGACCTAGCCTGATGCTAAGTGCATATATAATCTGAAAATAGATCGAGGTTTGAATTTCCTATCCCAATACTTCAAAAGAAAAAAGAAAAAATATATGATCCGATTAAATTAAAAGCAACTGTCCATAAATTAAAAATCTTAGAAACTCAAAAATGAAATTAAGATCCAGCTATTATAATTTTATGTAAATGTTTTATTGCTTTTTTATTCATATTTTGTTACCTTAAACTTCAAGGTATCTGCTTTTCAATTTGAGTCGTGCAATAGATTTAGATATTTTCATAACCGATAGATTTAGATTTAATTAGCTAAAAAATTAAAAATCAGAAGTTAATTATTTAGACTGAAGAATATTAAGCATGTATTTCACAATTAAAAAGTTTAAGGACTAATTTAACTAATTAAGTTATTATAAATTACTATTAACAAATAAGGAGGATGAAATTGACCGGCTTATGATTAGTATAATACTTTATCATATCTTATCTTATCTTAACCAAAGTCATAAGAAAAAGAGGTCCAGATTTACTATCTTATCTTAACCGATAGGATTAGGATTACTATCTTATCTTCTCTTAACCAAAGTCATAAGAAAAAGGGGTCCAGATTTACTATAAAAGCACAAGTTATATACTTATAGCTATCACATAATTTTTATTTCCTGCAATCTATAATATATAATCACTACTTTCTTTAAAGTTTAGATGGCAAAAACAGCCTTTTCCCAGGCCAAAAAAGCCATGGCTATGGCTTTTTTTGTTGCCACTATTTTGCTTTTGTCTTCTCAAGTGGCAAATGCTATGCTCAATGATGGATTACAACTTAATCTTGGTTTGTTCACTTAGACTTACCAAGCATTTATTTATTTATTTATTTTTAAAAATATTTCTAATTTGCATGATATATATATAGTTGTAAAGTGTCAAGCTATTTAATTCTTTCTTGATTTTTTTTTTCAAGTTTGTTATTCCATTTCAATGCAATATTATTTCAATTTCTTTATTATTACTATTTTAAAAGCCTTGTAGATTACAAGTGACAATCATACTTATGGTTTTATAAAGAAAAAAAAAAAAAATAAAAGTGATGATTACTAATTATTGGATTAATTTCATTTTTTAATTGTTAGGACGAAGAACTCTGTTAGCTGAAACTACAACCGGTAGAAGTGGATATAATGAATACCCTGATGGACGAGGAGCATACAATGAAAATCCGACTGGTCGAAGTGGATATAATGAAAAACCTGATGGACGCGGAGGATACAATAAAAAACCTAACAATGAAAATCCGACTGGTCGAAGTGGATCTGGTCGAAGTGGATATAATTGAAAAAAACCTATGGACCGGCGGAGGATACAATTAAAAAAACCTAACAATGAAAATTCGATTGGTCGAAGGTGGACTATAATGAAAAAACTGATGGGACGTGGAGGATATACAATAAAAAAACCTAATGGAAGAGGGATGATATAATTAAGTAAACTTACGATCATATATATAAATATGTATGTGTGAATAAACAGATTGGTACTGAATAAAAAGGATTTAATTAACCCCCAAGTTTTAAGTGGATATAATGAAAAACCTGATGGACGTGGAGGATACAATAAAAAACCTAATGGAAGAGGATGATATAATTAAGTAAACTTACGATCATATATATAAATATGTATGTGTGAATAAACAGATTGGTACTGAATAAAAGATTATTACCCCAAGTTTTAGAATGTCGTTTATCTGTATCCATTTTGGTGCTAGATAGAGTCATTCTTTATTTCTAATAAATTATTATTTCTCTTTTAAATGTCTTTTTAAGTTTTTTTTCTTAAGATTTTCCTCTTTACGTACGCTATAATGTCAAATTATACGGCTAAACTATACGTGTGAATGGAGTTTGATACTTCTGTTGCCGTGGAAATTAAAAAAGGAAAAAGGAAAAAGGAAAAGGACTTGTGAGCAATTCCAAAAACAAATCAAGAAAACAAGGAGTTTAACCATACAATTGCCTTAAATAAAAAAAATAAAAAAAACATACAATTTTTTACAGAATAGATTAGATTGACTGTCATCAACATACTTAATTATTCAAATATATATATATATAGACTGATTGGCATTGTTCAACATTTCCAAGTCAATAGATACGTAATAAGACTTGTGCTAATCATCCTTAGGTTTTGTTTGGATGGAGTGAGAGAAAGTTTATTAAAATAAGGTTCCATAAGAGATTATAAAAATATCATTTCGTGAAAGTTTTCACATATATAAATTGGTTACAACTACTTTTTAAATAAAATATTAATTTATGAATATCTAAATTATTTTTCTTAAATTAAGTATTCAATGATATGAAATAAAAATATTTATTGACAAGAAATATAATTAGTGCAATTTCGAGTTTTTAAAACATAAATATGGAATAATATGAGAAAAAGAAAAATTTAACAATACCGATTCTGAAATCTAGTGAGTTTGCTTGAGCATGCTTGGTGAAAATCAGCTCGCTATATTTATACACACATCGTAACAGTGAATAACCGTGATTGTAACAAATTAAATTAATTGTTATTATTTTGAGGCAGGTGATATTTAATTGAGAATAACTATTTTAGGAAAACGTAACTTTTTAGGTGTCCATAAAATGAATGTACTTTATTTACATTATCAATTACAATTTTCGGAAAATAGATTATTCAAATTTTTTTATGCAAATAAAATAAGTTTATCACACATGACTAAAAATTCGCACCTTCTTAATTAAGTATAATGAATTTACTAATTGTCCTATTATCTAAATACACTTAAATTTATGTTACGAATATTATTGTCTTTTATAATGTGAGAGCAATTTATTTATCAACAAGTTGTTTTGCGTATCAAATGCATTCAAATTTACTTCTAGAATTTCCTTGTAAGTGTACTTCTTGGCAAATAGGCCACATGCAATCAAATGTGTCCTAAAAATTTCATGATAGTACCAATCATTAAGGTTATACATGACATAATCAAAGATTAGAGCCGTTAAGAAATGTTCCCTCCATTCTATAATTTGTATTCAGGTTTGACTTACATATGAATTAACAACATTTAGTTAATATAGTTAAAATATAATTTTTATTTCATTTTTTTTCTAAGATAGCCTTATGATAGTATCCATAAAAATTAAATAATTCATATTAAGTTGTTTTTGAAATTAATCAAATATTCCATTAAATAGAGCTTTATTGGAAGATTAAAAGGTTGATACGTCAATTTTGTTTATATCAAGATTTAATTAATGACAATATAGTAGTTTGACTATTATATTTGTTGATAAAAAAACATATTAAATAAGGGTAAAATAGTAAACTTCAAATAATATTCACTTCTAAAATATGAAAAAATATAACAATTTGGGACTAATGAAAAAGAAAAGTACGACAAAAATTATGAGACCAAAGGTGTATGATTTTAGACAAAATGTATTTTTAAACCCCCAAATTTGTCAAGTTTTATTCATTAAGCCCTTTAATTTTCCATTGTTGATATTAAACCCTTCAAGTTTTATTTTTATTAAAACTAAACCTTTATTTAATTGAGATCATGAAATGTTTAGCCAGTACTCTATTAAATCGGGTCTTGTTCAGTTGGGAAAAGGAAGACAATGTGTTAGTGACTTCGATTTCCATTTGCTTTTATTTAAAAAAGAGTTTAATTTTGATAAAAATAAAAGTTAAAGGGACTCACTGTTAATAAATAAATGTTTGAGGCCAAAACTAGTAATTTTATTTAAATAGGTTCAATTAATAAATTCTATTTCATATTCACACATTAGAAGGTACAAGGAATTTGCATGCCTAATTATTTATGTCAGGGAAATTTCTTGCTAAGGTATTTTAAAAATTTACTGTTTTATATTTTTTTTTCCAGCGTATAGTTAGAAATATCCTCGTTTAAATAAAATATTATTTGTAATTAGTTTATTATACAGATAGACTCATATACCAATTATAAGTAAGTATTTCCCTAATTATTTATATCAGGTAACAAAGGCAAAGGAAGTTCCAACATTTTAGGACTTCAATTCAAGATAATTAACTTTGAAAGTTGACACCAAATCAAGGATAAGCAAATATATTTTAGAAACACTATTAAATTATGAGACGCGCAGCTATGAACCCCTAAACACTCTGGGAATACTCGTAGAAAATCCCAAAAACACTGTTAAATTACATAAACAACTGTATCTAAGCCATTTTGCTTAATTTCATTTTCCTTAGAAATACGTATGCTAGCAAGCGATATGCAACTATCATCACCATCATCGCCACCACTTCTTTTGCACCGCGATCTAGTCTTAAGTTGGTGATAAAAGGAGATTGACAGTAACTTGGTTCAGAATCTGAATCTGATGAACAAGGATACTGTATCCTCAACAGTAACCTGTAAGTGTGATAGTTGAAAGAAATGTAGCGTACCCATGACATAAAGGATGGAACTTCCTGCATTTTTCAATAATTATATATATATACAAATCATAATCTGATAAATAAGAGCATAGCCATATATCTTTCACCAAGTAATTCTCTTACCTGAAGAAAGAATCCGCCAGATAACATAAAAGTCATAATAGTGATTGAAGCTAGTGTTGTTGCTTTCTTTATATCCATAAATGCTGCACCTATAGTGAGTCCAAGACCCTGAAAGTGAAAAATTATGAATTGGTGTATGTATATATACACTAATCTAGAAAATGAAGACATGAATTTTCCATTTACAGAAGGCTAATTCCAGTAGTACCTGAGCAGCTACAATGCTTAGAAAAACGGTAAGCATTGTCAAAGAAAACGCAGCAAAGCTTAATTTTAAACCAACCATGAAATATACTGTGACAAGGAATATTGTTGGCAGTATTAGATCCAAAGGAAGATCGCTAATGTTTCTTGCAGCGAAGTATGCGCTGAGTCTGTACATTCCAACTGCTCTTTCTTTAGCTAGCATAACTTTTTCTTGTGGGAACGTGAATATTGCAGTAAATAGAGGAAAGAACCCCCAAAATACTGAAATAAAGAATAACAGCCCTGCCTGCTTAATCCATTGATAACACCGAAAAAAGAAAAAGAAAAGCATAAGAAGTATATTGATGTTTCAAATAGCAAAATATTAAATAGGCTATGTTAAGGTTTTGGTCCTCCCAGAAAAGTGCGCTTCTTCCTGGAGATCCAACTTGTGTTCACAGCCTTACCGGGTTTGAAATCATTTAGCACTCCAGCCGACACCTTGTTACTATGAATAGGCTATGTTTGGTATTATCAAATGTAATGAAATGTAATTAACTACTGTTTCAGCTCGAAATTTGTACTAAAAATATATTTGACTATATTACAGTGTGTTTATGTACTACTTGCCTGATCTTCAGCCTGCTGAAGGGACGAACCAGAATGCCACCAAAGCAAGCCTATGATTATTGCAGTGGCTACAACTTGCGTTATGCGCATAAAACTGAAGTACTGATGGCGTCTCTCTTTAAAGCTCCTGCTAACAAGAACTGAAAATTGCTCCCCCCAAGTTGCTTCCCATTCCCTTGGATTCATCTTTCCAGGAAACTCCATCTCACGGTCTATTGTAATAGCCTGTACAGATTTTGTTTTCTTAATTGATGATTCAACATTCTTTTCATAAGCCTTTAGAAGATACTGCAAGAAAGAAATTCTCAAGTGAGATTACTATTCAGATCATAGTACATATTCATCAATTGCTAAGGAAAAATACTTGCATACTCATTGACCTCATGGATATCAGTATAGGAACGTCCTTCCTTTTTTCTCTCTAATGATCCACTTTCGAGTAGGAATTTTTCTTCCAACTCTGAAGGAAATGGTTTATCATTTATGTTTCCATTTGCCAGGTCAATCAGAAATTCTGCTGGGTTCATGGCTATTACTGGATGGCAACCAATTGAAGAGAAATACGACATTGCTTCTGATGCTTTTCCAAAGTACAAGGAACTTCCTTTTCCCAATAGAATGAGCCTGTCGAACTTACCAAAGAGCCTACTGGAAGGTTGATGTATTGTAGTCACAATTGTTTTGCCAGTCTAGAACAAAAAACACAAGTACATTAAGTAATTAATCTTATTTGTAATTGCCTCCAAGATTTTGTACAATTGACATTAGGCAAGAATTTTCTATGCACAAAATAAAAAGAAGTTTTTTACTACCTTGGCCATGTTCTGCAGAATCTGAACAATTCGAAGCGCGGTTGTTGAGTCTAGACCTGATGTAGGTTCATCCAGGAAAAGAAGTGATGGGTTCAGGAGAATTTCATGACCAATGCAGACCCTTTTTCTCTCACCTCCAGATATTCCTCTCACAAACTTGCCACCAATTACTGAATTTTGGCTCCTAGGAACGATACAAATTACTGTTAATTAATGTTTTCAAACAGAACCGATCGTCAACAACAATAATCATAATTTTTGTTAACATTGCCAAAATTAGCAAAGCAAAAGTTGAGTTTATTGACCTATTGAACAGGAAATATGCAGAGCTTAATACTCATGGCTTTCTGCAATAGTACAAAAAATTTAACTGTATCTATACAGCAGGCTAAATTACTTCGCTGTAATTATCTTTCAATGTTCATTATCCACCTTTGAAGGCAGTCAATTTTAAGCTAGTTGCACCATCTTTTAATTACCAAGTGGGCAAGGGGTTCAGATTACAGAATATCTGAAAGTGACTGAGAAAGAATTTTTAAGGATCCAGAAAAAAATGAGAGAAAATAATCACCTTTCAAGGCCTAGTTCAGTTATAACTTTCATTGCTCTTTCTTTTTTCTGTTCTCTAGTTAAGATATTAGGAAGACGAAGCAAAGCAGCATAAGTGAGAGTTTCTTTAACTGTAAGGTGGGGAAACAGAACATCATCTTGTGTCACAAAGCCAATCCTGTTTCACAAAATCAAACAATTAGTCACCCATTAATTATCCCATTTTTGCCATTATAATACATATTAACTGATCATAAATTAACCTAGTCTAGTAATGATGGAAACTTCCTTTCTCATCAACCAGGTTCAATGGGCTGGGAACACTCTACGATAATTTTTTTCTTAATTTGACATTTAATTTATGTCATGGCCCCAGGCCCGCGACTGCCTACTGTTAGAATAATAGCTCAATAGTCGAGTGCCCCACCTCCATTGGTAATAAGTCAGGGTTTTAAATCTTGAAAATCTGATTCCCAGAAAGAAATTCTGATGTACAGAAACATAAAATACCTCCGCTTAAGGGATTTGGTATATGGTCTACCATTATAAGCTATAGAACCACTGGTGAATTTGACCCTTCCACTAAGAAGATTGAGCAGACTCGTTTTGCCACCTCCTGATGGTCCCATAAGAGCTAGAACCTCACCTGGGTGGGCTGAACCACTAATTCCATGAAGTACATACTTATCTGAATACACCTTGTATTTCACTTCTTGAAACTGCAGAAAGTTGAAAAATACATATGTAGATAGCGATTTTATCATTTTTATTTAAAATTATAGTCACTGTGGCTAATAGCTTAACTGCGTTTAAACCGTTATTATTAATCAAATTACCTTGAGAGCTATAGGTAATGTAGGTTCAACCTGCATTTTCTTCAACTTGCAAGAATCTGGGTCCTCCTGATGATCTGAAGGACTTTGACCCATTGCAGCATTTCCTGCATTAAAGGGTGACAAGAAAATATATTAATGTTATTAACATCATAAATGCAAATTGCAAGAGAAGAATTCCCTTTAGTCATTAATAATTAAGAAGGAAAATAATTAAACCTGTCTTGTCAAAGCTTCCAGTAGTAGAAACATTATCAACAAGATCATCTATATTGATCAAGAAACTTGCACTAAATGACTTTGTTTTGCACATAAGGTTTCCTTTTGGAGAATTATCAGTCTCCATCTCCAAGTTCTGCATCTTTTGTTCAGTTTTTCCACTTTCGCCATTGTTATTATCTTCTGGATTTACTGTACTTGAGGATTTGCAACCATATCCTAGTTCTTTGTTCACTTCCTCCATTAGTGCCAAGACTGACTCAAGAGAAAAAGAAAGAGATTTGGTTTATATTAATATTCTGCAAGAAGACTGATATAAATCTGTAACTGGCAGAAGGAAGAAAATGTTGTAATTACTTGAAAAATGGAATTGAAAACAGTGAGGCAGTGTAAGTGCACAGCAGAGATATGAAGTATTATATATTAAGATGGCAGGCTTCAAGCTAGCTGCTAACTTATATATAATATGCCCCCAACTTTTACCGCATATGATGTAGCCCTAATAGTAACATATGTAGACAACTATTTTAGATGGTGTTAAGTTGGCTTTTAAGTCCGTCAAATATATTTTAAATAAAAGATTATAACTTTATAAGTAAATAAATACTTAAATTGGCTTATAAAGTATGGAGTCATAGCTAAAATTAACTTTACTACTTAAAATGTTAGTTCAAAGGAAGGAAGGAGGGTGAAGTTTCCGTACAAATATATTAAGGGTAAGCTCTTGTACTATGTTGATAAAATCGACTGTACCTAACTCATCTAAAAGTCCTAGTTCAAGGAGAGGAAGTTTATCCAAATCCTATGTATAGTTTAAATTCTTTTATCCCACATTAACGTGGAATAACAAAAATCAATTGAAAAAATCGATTTTAATTGTAAATCACGATGAGGTTTAGGGCACGAAATGAGCCGTTTTGTAAAATGTCATGTTTTGGTATCAAACAGGGATCTAACCTTTTTTTTTTTTTTTAATAGGTTGTTTTTCACTAAACTAAACTAATGTTAGAACCCGCGCGATGCGCAGAGTAATATTAAATGATGAAATAATATATTATAATATCATTCAAAAATAATAAATGATCGTAAAATGCATTATAAAATTGTATTTTATTGAGATATGATAAAAAAATTGCAATATTAAAATGTATCTTCTTAAGTATCTTGCAAAGCCTTTACCAAAATATGTAATAGTAAAAATCATGCATGGTATGACCTAAAGGTGTCAAAATGGGTTGACGTGTCAAGTTCAACATGGATTCGCCTAACACGCGACACGTTTAGGGTCAACACGAATACGATCAATTTAATAATTGTGTAAATTTATCGACATGAGCGACATGAAAATTAGGCAGGTGATTGAACACGACACGTTTAACCCACCTAATATCATAAGCAGGTTAATGAGGCCGTGTTGACCCATATATAACTCTTGTAACCCGCTTAATATCATAAACAGGTTAAGTGGGTCGTGTTGACCTATATACGACCCACTTAACATGCTTATAATATTTTTAATAACCACTAAATATCAATAAGCGGTTAAATGAGGCCGTGTTGACCCATATATAAGACTCTTGTCTTGTAACCCGCTTAATATCATAAACAGGTTAAGTGGGTCGTGTTGACCTATATACGACCCACTTAACATGCTTATAATATTTTTAAATTTTAATCTGTTCAACTCCAATCGTATTTAAAAATAAATTTTCATTCATAAAATACATAAATTCTTCAAGATTCATAATAAAATAAAATAAAAAGTAATACAATAATAAAATTTAAATAGATTTTTTTTGGAGTATTATATCTAACATCAAAATTACATTTTTACTCTTAAATAAATGAGTTACTCGCTTAACCCAAGTGTCAACCCGTTATACAATATGTTTATATTTGTGTCATAAATGTGTGATTCGTTTATGACACGAAGCCGTTTAACCTCAACCTTAACCCATTTATTTCGCATGTTAAGCGAATCGTTCGCGTGTCATGACTCATTTTGATACCTCTAGGACCTGCATAAAAAATGCAGACACGCTATTAATTTAATTTTCAATAGTTATAATAATTTTGAGAATTTAACTAATTATATTGAAATATTGAAATAAAAAATTAAATATTTTTTTACTTGATGTTTATGATTTATTATAAATGATTGTTTATTTATTTGAAATATTAATGTGTTATACTTATTTAGTGCAGTGTGCCCTAAGCGTGAAAATGTCTTACTTACGTTACTTTTTTTTTGGAGATAAAAGAAAAATAAAATTAATTTTCTCTACAAATTTATTTTTATAGTTTTTTTATTTTACTTTTAATTTGAAGAGAAAATTATTGGAATTCTTTTACTTTATATTCCTTTCTTATTTCCAAATATAATAGTTTTAGCTTATTAATATTAGTTTAGTTTTCTTTTCTTTTTTCCTCCTATATGACATTATCTGAAAATATAAAACAACTTATCTACTTACAATTGTTGTTATTACAACTTATCTTCTTACAATTATGCTAACTCCTTATACTTCGCAATTTGGCCTAATATCATAAACAGGTAAAATGGATCGTTTTGACCCATATACAACCCGTATGACTCATTTAATGTCATAAACATGTTAAGTGGGTCGTGTTGACCTGTGTACGATCCACTTAACATACTTATAATATTTTTAAATTTTAACCTATTTAACTCCAATCGTATTTAAAAATAAATTTTCATACATAAAATGCATAAATTCTTTAATATTTATAATAAATTTTCATACATAAAATGCATAAATTCTTTAATATTTATAGCTAAAATAAAAAAGTAATACAATAATAAAATTTAAATAGGTTTTCATTGGAGGATTTATATCTAATACTAAAATTATCTCTTTACTCTTAAATAAATAAGTCACTCGCCTAACCTGCGTGTCAACCTGCGACACAACACGTTTATATTCGTGTCATAAATGGGTGACTCATTTATAACACGAACCTATTTAGCATCAACCCTCATCCATTTATTTCGCGTGTTAAGCAAATCGTGTTCGCGTGTCATGACCCATTTTGACACCCCTAATATGACATGCATAAAAAAATGCACACACACTATTAATGTATTTTTCAATAGTGAAATAATTTTAAGAATTTAACTAATTAGATTCAAATAAGAAATTAATTATTTTTTATTTTATGTTTATGATTTGTTATAAATGATTATTTATTTATTTAAAATATTAATGTGTTGTACTTATTTAATGCAATGTGTCCTAAATGTGTAAATTTCGTACTTTTGTTACTTATTTTTTTTTGGATATACAAGGAAAGAAAATTAATTTGATTTTAGAAAATTAAAAAAAAAAAAAAAACTTGGACAAACGTTGTCACGCCCGACTCTAATCACCAGAGTTGTCCGCACCGACTTAATCACCAGAGGAATCTGGTTCCGCTTGGATTCAAGCCCAAATCGCCCAATACAAGAATGGCAAGACCGGGCACGGTTTTGTCCGCAGGTGAAATGAAAAAAACTTCCCAAGAGATCAACCATCCTGAGATTTATGTTAAGCGAGCACGCTTAACCCTAAAGTTCTTCCAACTGTCCAGGCCATTCCACCTAAAAAGGCGATTCCACCAAAAGGCGCCTCTAATGATTAGTTTCCCCCTTTTCGATATATGATTCGATTCATTCCTGTGTCCCGCATTCCACTACCCTAGCTAGCTTGTCATCCTAGAAGCTAGCTACGAGCTTCGCTCTACCCACCCTCTTAGGATCGCTTTGCCGGGTCGAGATGTCACAAACGTGCTTGCACATGAATCAAATTTGTAAAACTTACGTGACAGATTAATTGTTGGAATCTACTTTCCTATTTTTAGTTTTTTAATTTGTAATAACTGATCAAACCTTTTAGAAAATATAAAACAATTCATCTTCTTACGATCGTGATAAATAATTATTATCCTCCTCACACTTGGCAATTTCAGAGGTTTACACTTGACTTCCATATAACGGAGAGCTTATATATATATATATATATATATATATATATATATATATATATAGATTGGAGAGTTGAATTTAATAGGTGTACAAAACTGACTTGTAATTACCTCTTATTGTTAAAAATAAAAAAGAAATTTCAATATTTGTCTTCAATTCAATGCTAAAGTTAGCATTGAAGTGATTTCATATTAATTTCATAAAATTAAAAGGATACTATAATCAAGTTATAATTATTTATATCATTGTATCAGCATTTCTAGTCCAAAAAAAAAGTGCAAATCTATTTTATTACAAAATTTTCTACCATTGAATATTGTCACAAAATAAATTGAAGAAGAAGAAAATGAGCAATAATGTGAAAAAACAAATGAGGCTAATAATTAATTATCATTTTGAAAAAACTATCATAAACTTACAATATTTTCTTATGTTTCTTAGTAAACAGAAATCAATACCCTGACATAAATAAGGCCTTTTTTTTACATTTTTTTAAATAAAAATCCCAACTTTACTTTACTTCTAAAGTGCAATAGCAACTGATGATAAGTTATTTCATATTTACTTTTAGTATAAAATTACATTTTAAAAATAAACCTGGACACAATTGTATAAATTAATGGTATTCAGAATATAAAGGTTAATTTAGAGTAAAATTGCAATTATTTAAAAAATTTATACTAAAATTTATAGTTAATTCGTCCGTACAAATTAACTTTATTGAATTTACACGTTTTATATATATATATATATATATAAGTTTATATATGGATGTAAGTAAATCGTACTTTATTATAATTATAGTAATATGGACTAAAATTGACATAAATATAATTATGCTTTTAAAATCAGACCAAACTGACTGATCAGATCAATTAATCTGTGAACCAACCATTGATTCATTCCTATTTGATCTTGGTCTTTTTTCACAAACGGAAGATTCAGAGTTTAAAATAAAACACACAAACTTAATGTTATTCAAATTTAGTAGAGCAAATGGTTAAGGTAAATGAATAATTTGTAAAGTCGTGAATTCAAATTTACAACCTGCAAACCTTTTTTTTTTATTCAAAGGTTACAAACAAATATGACAGGCTTTTTCACAAGTGTACGGAATCGCGACAAGTAATAAAAAATGAATAAAGTATCACCCCACAAGAATTGTATACCAAGTACTAAAATTTTGTTAACTTACTATTATTTAGACGACAATAAGGAGAATTATTTTAACGAAATTCTAAATGAGTAAAAGAGAAATAAAAGAAATCAAGTAAGTTAGACGGACAATAAAGGGAGATTATTTTAACGAAAATTCTTAAATGAGTAAAAGAGAAATAAAAGAAATCAAGTAAGGCAATTCGAATGAAAAAAAACTTAAGGAATTAAAAACTAATTAGGGATTTTTGATTTCACTTATTCTATCCAATTTAATTTTATTTAGTTTGTTT